CACCTGCTGTCACAGAGTCTACAGAAAACCCGCTCTCGGTGGTTTAATTACCTGCGTTCGGGATTTCAGCGCAGTTTTCTTCGTCCATAGGGAACGTTGTTGAAGCTTCACTAGGCTGCGTGAGTGACGTCACATCCGGTCTGGAAGAGTCAAAATAAAAGCGCCGCTTTAAAATCCTTAAGAAGAAGAAAATAGTTTGAGAAAATGGGATTTGAGAATAATAAATGAGAATGAAAATACATTACATTTTAGAATATATATATATATATATATATACATACACACGCATGTGACTGTCGTTTTAGGAAAAAAATGAGCGTAAACCATTCTTATTTATTTATTTATTTATTTAAGAGGAACATGTCTCATTAGAAAATCTTTGTTGTATTGTAGTTTTATATGATGACCGATCAAACATCACTTTATTTCTTAAAATATGATGACAAACATGTCCCTTCCCAGTTAAGAAAATATTTTGAAGAGAAAAAAACAACACATAAAAAGTCACATGATTTAAGTTCACTTCAAGCATCTCTCAAACTTGTGAAATAAAATCAATATTTGAATACAACACAGTGAAGCGGTTAAGTATCTAATAGTAAATAGTATGAAGGTTTTGAAAGACTTGACACTTCAAATCAACATTTAAAAAAGGAAAATACGTGAGCGTTGACAAAAACATTATTCTTTGATCATCTCTGAATATGAATGCAAAACCTATAAAAGTAAGTAATTAGGTCCGAAAATACTGAGGGACGCTGCCGTGTGCTTATAGGGTTATAGTGGTTAAACTGTGTCATTACAGAGGAGTTCCTTTATTTATAATATATATATATATATATATAAATTACTTGTCTATATGAAGGTTTTGAAAGACTTGACACTTCAAATCAACATTTAAAAAAGGAAAATACGTGAGCGTTGACAAAAACATTATTCTTTGATCATCTCTGAATATGAATGCAAAACCTATAAAAGTAAGTAATTAGGTCCGAAAATACTGAGGGACGCTGCCGTGTGCTTATAGGGTTATAGTGGTTAAACTGTGTCATTACAGAGGAGTTCCTTTATTTATAATATATATATATATATATAAATTACTTGTCTATTTCTCTCACTTGCGTTTGCGTGTTGATTCTCTGTTGTAGTAATTAGTAGTAATGGTTTTAGTAAAAAAAACTTAGTATGTAATGACATAACTAATTTCTTTTTCCCAATTAATTTGGCTTCGTTCTCTTTACATTTGTTTGGACTTTTATTATGGTGTAGAATTCTCTCGCGCTGGTTTCCGGCTTCACAGCAGCAGCAGGAGCAAAGATAAACAGACCCAAAACTGTGAGTTTCTGCATCAAAATGATTCAGTTCTGCTAATAAGTGCGTGTTTTTGTCGTGTTTACGGCTTCTGTGCTTAAAACACTGATTTTAATGCTGCTTGATCACAAGGAGCGTCATAAAAGCACGTTCATTTCTCAGCTCCTATTATGGGATGTTTCCAGTCTATAAATATGTGCTATTAACTATTAACAAATTTAAAAAAAAAAAAAAGTAAATGAAACTGACTATAATGAATGTGAATTGAGTGTCCTCTGCCAGCTAGAGCAGCTCCAGGCTCTGTGCTCGTCTGCTGCTGCAGTGTCCTGATCTCTCTCTCTCTCTCTCTCCTCACAGCGGAGACGCAGAACACACCTGCAGCCGCGCAGGAATCCAGGAGAGCACACACCCAGCGGCGTGGAATGACACAGAAACCATGGATGCGGAGAGGACTCTTTCACAGCGCCTGCGTTACAGCCACAACACACCTGTACATCTGTCGCTATATATATATATATGTGTGTGTGTGTGTGTGTGTGTATGAGTGTGTGTGTGTTTGTGTGTATATGAGTATGTGTGTGTGTGAGTGTGTGTGTCACCCTCTAGTGCTGCAGATGTGCCACAGCATCAACAACATTTAAGAGCTCCGAGCTTTATTCGCTTCGCCAACCGTGTAGTTGTGTAGTTATCGGTATGAATTTACTGTATTTACACACTCAAACGTATTTTATAGCTTCATAATTGAATTATTAAAATAATAAGCGCAGCGGCTGTAAACGCGCTTCATGTTTGTGTCCAGCAGGCGGCAGTAATGCGCAAACAGCGCTGCGGAATCATGGGTAATGTAGTTTTTCACGAAGAATATAGCTGTTAAACAGAATTATTAAAAAAAAATAAGCTGATATAATGCGGGCTGACTGCTGCAAAAAAAGCATAAACCATCGATTAATACTCTCATAGCTCACAGTAGCTCCGTCTTTAAAGGTTTATAAGTTATCATTAAAAATCAACTCCCTTATGAAGAGAATGAATGGGATTTTTACTTCCGTTTTTTTTACAACTTTCGATATTAAATGCACTAATAAATTATTGAGAAATTCTTATTTCTAATTACAATTAATTTATTAAAACTTATGGAAGATGCTTCGCGCACTGCCTGAATGTTCATTTTCAGAATGTATGACCGAGGCCCAAACAATATACTTTTATTATTTTGTTTTCTGCCATAATACGGGTGTTTATTTATTGCGTATTTATAGGTCATATGTATATTTATTTATGTACTTGATTTACGATAGTGACAATACACCCAAACGTACTTTTTCCGCTTTAAAATCAAATATTCCTTCGTGTAAACATCTGCTGTAGATGCGCTTCATGATTGTGACCAGCAGGCGGCGCGCATGCGCGGAAATCACATCTTCAAATATTATCCCAGCAATTCCTATCATGCAAATAGATTTAGCTGTGATATTGATATATCTTATACATTTTGTGACCAACATAACCATGACTAATTCTCGAGTTAATAACCTAATCTAAACTTTAAAATGATATATTTAGTAAAGCGTGTTGAAAGCGTGATGACGTAACATACCGTTAGCATTAAGCAGTCGATCTTCTCAACTCTGAATTTAATTGTTTGTTCGTTTTATTAGGAAAGAACGCATTTTATAAGCGTCATGTGACGCGGAACTGAACATTTCACCGTGTTCGTCATGAGTAAAGCTCGAAACTACAGTCACTTCTGCTTCATTCAGCCGCATAAACGTCCAGTGAGAAGAAATTAAAAGTTCACTCAGTTTTATTAAAAAAAATATCATTTCATTTGTTACAATAGCTTATAGACGCGACTGAATGAGCTGTACACATCCGTTTTTATACAATGTTTTACATGTAAAGCATCAATGAACAAAAACGCGAGTTAGTGGAAATTTCATGACTGATGAGAAACCAAATGTTGGTCACCTTTGAACACATCCTCGCAAAGCACCATGGGAATCAAAATAAAACACCAATAATGACCAAAAACAAACTCCTGTCATGAAAATGAAACATTTAAAGTGATTCTGTAGTGAATGAATCCTGCTCCCTCAAAGTGCTTTAGACGTTTTCCCACAATTCCAGCAACCGCACCAGTGACCCCTCACACACACGGGGTCAGAGGTCAAACTGAGCCGACAAACGCTCCACTGATGATTCTTACTTCCGGTGACCATCAGCTGCTTCCTGTACACTGATCCTCACACACACACACACACACACTCTCACACTCTCACACACACACTCTCTCTCACACAGAACCGGTCCTGTAAAGTGCAGTTAAGAAAACGGAAATGCTGGTGTGAGCAGAATCATAAAGGAACTAAAAACATGGCGTTACCCAGAAGCCCTTGCAGATCAGGCCATTAAAGGGCGGTTTGGGACGAGGAGAGATTTGGAAAAGCTGTTTCTGACACACATCCGTGATTGTACCGAAGCTGCTGTCGTGAACATGGAGGACGCTCTGAAGGCAGCGTGTGACAAACCAACACAATCAGGACAAACAACCACACCAGCTGAACAAGAGCAACAAACAACACCTGATGGATGCTGGGTAATACAGGACGTTTGTGCTGGTGAGTCTCCCTTTATAAAAGACCAGAGGAACCTGCAGAAGTGCTACAAACACAGAAACAGATGCATTATGGGAAACTAAATGGCTGGAGACACTAGAGGATTTTCAACAGTCCTTACACACACACACACACACACACACACACCCCTACTCTCGCATTCAAACACACACACATACTAAACACACACACACTCTCAAACACACTCATTCATTCAAACACACACACACACACATACTCTCGCATTCAAACACTCACACACACCAGACACTATTAATGGCAGGATGTAACAGGACAACAGAAGCACTGCAAGGACATGATGATGACGATGATATGAAGATTCTTCTTTATAGCTTATAAATACAGTATCTACACAGTATGTGGTACAAAAATAATCAACCTTTTGTGGGCACTGAGATTTAAAAAAAGTTAAAAATGATTGAAAGTGTCTTCTAAAAAGCGGTCAGGCACGAGAAGTGGTCTGTGATTGTGAGCCGTGTGTCACACGTGACCTGACGTGACCTGCGTCACGCGTCGGCTGCGGGAAGGTTCCACTTGATTGGTTTGGATCGCGTCACTTCCCGTCCGTTTCCCTAAAGCGTCCGAGTCGAGGCGCCGCTGAAGTTCGTCACGCACAGAGGAGGCCACATGACGTCTTCAATACAAAAATAGTAGAAAAATACGAGTACCGTCTTGATTGGTAGCTCATCCGGCGGGTGATTGAGAGTTTGAGTTTCAGGTCACAGTGTGCTGCTGCTCCGAGCCTGCAGGGGGCGATGGGCCTTCCATCTATTTGGCATGAACGCGTTTGATTCTAAACTCCTGGATTAAGGCAACGTATCACGTCTGTGTGAATTTAATAAAACTTTCTCTTTAAAAAAAAAATGTACAAATTTCTTTTAATACAAAGCTCTATGGCATAACCAATAAACACTGTATAGAAAATATATAAATATGTTTTCTTTTTCATTTAAATGTACAGAGAGCCGCCAGACCCGAGACAGACGCCCACGTGTTTTTCTCCGGTCAAAGTCAGCACGCCACCGGCTATATGCACTGATGCTGGTGGTGGGCGGGGCTCAGGACGAGGCTTACGTGGCAGTGGGCGGGGCTTAGGACGAGTCCGTGCAGGGCGGGGCTTATGCAGTGGTGGGCGGGGTTCAGGACGAGTCCGTGCAGGGCGTATGCGGAGGTGGGCAGGGCTTACACCGCAGTGGGCGGGGCTCAGGATGAATCCGTGCAGGGTGGGGCTTATGCGGAGGTGGGCGGGGCTTACACAGCAGTGGGCAGGGCTCAGGATGAGTCCGTGCAGGGCGGGGCTTATGCGGAGGTGGGCGGGGCTCAGGATGAGTCCGTGCAGGGCGAGGGTGGCGGCGGGTACAGGTGGTGCGAGTAGCTGCGCTCGGTGTAGGGCGACGGCGGGCAGCTCTCACAGTTCTCCTCTGCAGACAGGTACTGGCTGCGTGGGGTGGGCGGCGGCGGCAGCGGCTCCGAGTCGTAGATCAGGTCGCTGGTGTAGCCCTTGGTGGCGGCGCTGGACGCGTGCGGAGCCCTTCGGCCCGGCGTGTAGTCGCTGTCGCACACGTCTGTGCTGCAGGGCGTCGTCGGAGGGGCGAAGTGACGGTAACTGTACGGCCTGTAGCTGCAAAACACTCAGAGTCAGACACTGAATCATAAACATTAGCAGGACATTCACCTGACGTGTGTCCGCCCGTTACCTGTACGATCGGTGCGTCGACGGGCTGTTCGACGAGTAACCGAACTCCATCGTATACTGCGACCTCACTGTGGCGGGAGACGGAGGGGGATTCAGGATCTGGAATCATAGCAGAGAAAAGACACATTTACATTTAAATTTGTTTTTTAAAACCTAATTTAATCTAACTATAATAAATAATAAAGTAATAAATATAAAGTAAAACAACAAATATAATAATACAATTAATATTTATTCAATCTATACACATATACTGAAGCTAGTTTACAGTGGTTATAGAAAAGAATCAGCCCCCTTTAAAATGATCACATGTTGTTGCTTTGCAGCCTGATATGAAGACGGACACAGTTTTTATTTTATCAGCTGTATTTACTCAGTGCAACTTATAACATCCAAGTGAAAGATAAAACACCAACATGTCAGAAAAAAATAAAAAAACTGAATCTCTGAGTTGGAAAAAGGATCACTCTCTTGTGTCAGTATTTTGTTGAACCACCTTTTGCTTTAATTACAGCCTTTAGTCTGTTGGGATTTGTTTCTACTAACGTTGTACATCTAGACTTTGCAATATTTGCCTACTCTTCTTTGCAGAGCTTCTCAAGTTCAGTTCAATCTGATGGTGAGTGTTTGTGGACTGCAGTCTTCAGGTCATTCCACAGATTTCAGTGGGGTTTCAGTCTGGGCTCTGACGAGGCCATGCAAGAACATTCAGCTTTTTCTCCTTTAGCCACTGTGTGCTCAGTTCTGCTGTGTGCTTTGGGTCATTGTCATGTTGGAAGGTAAACCTTCTTCCCGTTGACAGCTTTCTGGCAGATTTTCCTCAAGAATTTAGATCGTACTTAGCAGACTGTTACCATTTTGTCTACTTAAAAATGGTAAAAAATCCGAGTTAACATCAGTAAATTATGGGGTGCCGCAAGGATCCGTGTTAGGCCCTCTGTTATTTCATACATGCTGCCACTTGGCAACATCATTAGGAAACACGGAATTAGTTTGATGATACTCAGTTATATATTTCATCAAGACCAGATGAAACTTCTAAACTATCCAAGTTGACAAAATGTGTTAAAGATATAAAACATTTGATGACCAATTATTTTCTTCTATTAAATTCAGACAAGACTGAGGTATTACTTATTGGACCAAAAACCTGCACACAGAATCTCTTAGAATACAATTTGCAACTAGAAGAATGTACTGTTGTGTCCTCGTCTGCAGTTAAAGACCTGGGTGTTATATTAGACAGCAACTTATCTTTACAAAATCATATTTCATATGTTACAAAAACAGCCTTCTTCCACCTCAGAAACATTGCTAAGCTATGGAACGTGTTATCGGTTTCTGATGCAGAAAAGCTAGTTCATGCATTCTCGAGTAGATTACTGTAATGCACTACTGGACTAACTCTGGACTTTTAGTAGTACCTTGGATATCCAAGTCCACTAAAGGAGGGAGATCGTTTTCCCATCTGGCCTTTCTTGAGGAGTGGCTTTTTTCTTCAACCCTCGCATACGAGCCACATTAGTGGAGAATCTGTGATATTGTTGTCACATGCACACAATGACCTCTCTTTGTCATAAACTCCTGCAGCTGCTTCAGAGTTGCTGTAGCTCTCGGTCTCCTCTCTGATCAGTTTCCTCCGGCTCTTTCATCAGTTTGGAGTGACGTCCTGATCCAGGGAGGCTCTGTGTTTTACCAAACACCTTCCACTTCTTAATAACTGACTTCACTGTGCTTCTAGGCATTGATAAAGCGTTTGAAATGTTTCTGTATCCATCTCCTGACTTGTGTCTGTCCACAACTTTCTCCCGGAGATCTTTTGACAGTGTCTTGCCACCCAGAGTTGATTGTTTGCTTCAGTTGCTCTACCAAGGACTGAAATGCTGCAGGAAAGCTCTTGTCATGCTGAGCTGATCTTGAAAGTCAAACGGATTTGTGTGCCATTGAGAAGGTGATGAGCTGCACCTGATTGAGTTTACAAGTCATTTTAGGATGAGCTGATCCGGTTTCCAACTCAACGATTCTGTTTTTTTATTTAAATTTTTTTCTGACATGTTTTATCTTTCACTTGGATGTTATAAGTTGCACTGAGTAAATACAGCTGATAAAACAAAAACTGTGTCCGTCTTCATTTCAGGCTGTAAAGCAACAAAATGTGATTATTTTAAAGGGGGCTGATTCTTTTCTATAACCACTGTAAATACTTGTACACTAATTCATCCGAATCAGAGGTCTACTCAACAGATCATTGTGCTGATAGTAGAAAAATTTACATTCTCAATGTGTTCACATTTGTTGTCTTTCCTTTCTTTGACAGGCAGCCCAGATCGAGTCTACATCAAATGCCACAAAGTTCATCGCGTAACAAAAAACAAGATTTATGCATAACACTGGACTTCTAATTATAAACAAGGGGACTCTTATTTTAAAATGTCTTTGCTTTACTACTTCCAGCTACTCATTCAAACAGATGAAGATGATAAAAATGCATCCTAAAAAATCTACAACATATTACACTTCATAAAGCGGATAGTTCCGGTGCTTGATTCTGATTGGCTGAGCCGCGTTCGAAGCTGTTGTAAATGACTCTACAAAGTAACATACACCTTTGTTTACGTTTGTGTGTTGCTCGGCAACCACTTTGTAGCAACCACAACTGTTTCTGAGGAGCTACATTGTTTGGTGGAAGAATACTGTTTTTATTAATATCATTACACTTTATTTGCTCTGTTTTATTTTGTGAAACCTTACTACGTATATGGAATAACCGTTTTATAAAAGCAATAAGCCCCGTGAAGCCGTGGTTTACAGTGAATTTATAACAGCTAAGGGGGTTTTAGGCACTCCGCTTCAACGCCCCTTAGCTGTTATAAATTCACTGTAAACCTTGGGTTCTTGGGGCTTCTTGCTTTAATAAACAAAGTAAACACTGTCATAATTCATTAACAGCAGATCATAACCAATCTATTGGCATATCTATTGCGAACCGTTCTGAAAACGTGAGCCAAAAAATTTACAATTACATTACTTTTTAATTCAACTGAAGCCTTTTAAAGATTAATGAACACATGACAGTTTTTCCTTCCCCAAAATGATAATGACTTTCCCCCCACATTTTTCTGGTCTGCGGTGACCCTGACAGACAGCGGCGACTGACCGGAGGAAAGTATGGGCCCTTGGTGCTGGAGGAGCTGCTGGACGAGGCTCCGGTCACATGTGCTCGATCATACGAAGGACCGCTGCTGCCTCCCATGATGCTCAGCGAGCCGATGACCGACTTCCCACGAGACATGCCTGAGAGAGAGACACAGGTCAGCAGGCGCTCAGACGCACTACACCTGTACAGCGAGGCGTTCCTGTCACCTGGCAGCGAGCCGCTCAGAGAGCCGGGGTGAGGCACGTACCCCAGAGGCACCGGCGGCGGCCCGTGCACCACGAAGTCATTGGTCATGGTCTCGCCGTCGTCCTTCATCTGAGGACACAGCACACGCTGGCACACGAAATACACAGCGCCCACCACGAACAGCAGCATCACCACACCCACGATAGAGCCGATGGTGTTCGTCGGAGGAAAGGACGGCTCTTCAGTCGCGTCTGAGGAAGAAAATAGAGCGTCTCTTACCTGCTGCTTTAACAACACTAGGGCTGGGTAAAAAAATATAGACATCTCGATATTAATCGATTCTCATTTTTACGGAACGATATCGATTCTTAAATCCCAAGAATGGATTATTCTAGCCTGTTTTCAGTTAATGGACGGAACGTTGAAGGGCACTTCTCATCCAATAAATCGCAATAAGCATTGGAATTGAAGTAGAAATATTATTATGTAATTGTAACTTTATTATTTTAAAACTTCATTAAGTGTAATTTTAACAAATCAGTCAGATTTAACCTTCAATATTATAGTAATGTAATACCAACTGACTCTCGTGTGTATTTTACAGCATTAGTTGAGAGATTTTTTTTCATTTTACATTTCCAGTAAATGTATCTTGATTTTAGGATGTTTAGATAATTGTGCTGGAAATCAAGGCAAAAATACTGAGGAAATTCATCTTTTGAGTCTTATTTAAGGCTTTTAACTGGATTAAGACCCGCAGACACTCGCTCTGAGACACATACAGCAGCCGATCTCGTCCGAGTTGTCTGTGCAGTCCGTGTTGTGGTCACACTTCTTGTGCCGCCCGATGCACTGGCCGTTGGCGCAGGTGAACTGATCCATGGGACAGAGAACTGCAGAGACAGACAGGAAGTGTGGGTGAATCAGGCAGGAAGTTGCTCTCAGACCGCGAGGATCGGCTGGCGATGGTTACCTTCACATTTGTTCTCATCGGACCGGTCCTGGCAGTTGATTTCTCCGTTGCAGCGCAGAGAGAAGTCCACGCACTGCTTGCTGTCGCACTGGAACTCCTCATCGGAGCAGACGGGACAGTCTCGCTCGTCGCTGCTGTCGTCACACTCAGCGAAGCCGTCGCAGCGCCAGGCCTGCGGGATACAGTCCACCTCGCCGGACACACAGGAGAACTGCTCCGGAGAACACGTGGGCGGCTCTGAGGACATATTATACTATATTCATATATGGTTCAATCGTATATTATTATTATTAGCATTAGTAGAAAATATGTGACCCTCTCTGTGAAATCCAGGCTAAAGTCTCAACATCTAATTATGAGGTAACAAGCATCAAAGTTTGATTTCAACCATTAATTTCACTAAGATTTCAATCTTTGACATGATCTTACTCAGTCAGTAATAAAGATATCAATGTTACATTTTCACAGAATGTTATCTTATGAAGGATGGTTTTATATAGAAAACAGTAAATCACCAAAAAATTACTTTAGCTGGGTTTTCACAGACAGGGTAACATATCACAAATGTACTTTATTCTTATTTTTGTTACTACTTTTTTTTCCTCTTTCTGTCTCATGCATTGAAAGGCTGTGGAATATGTTTGTACGACACATTCTATGTTCATTCATATATCTCTCTGTGGTTCCGGTATATTCTTTTTGTTGTTGTTTGTTCATTTTTCTCTACTTTCTGTCATGTCTACTGCCCTATTTTTCAATTTTTGTCACATTTTCAATAATAAAAAAAAAGAATGAAACCATATAATCGTCCAGACGTGAAGAATGTTAAGGGATAGTTCACCTAAAAATGACAAAAACTGCTGTTAATTTTCACCCTCAGGCCATCCAAGAAATAGGTGACTTTTTTCTTCAGTAGAAGAGTAAGGAAGATTTTAGCTGAAACCGTGCTCCTTGGTGATTCGTACAATGCAAGTCAATCGCTGCTTGCTCTTTGAGAGTCAAAAAAGGCAGATCAGGCTCCTGACGATGAAGCGAAATGTTGTATATAATCTTCAGTTTCTTGCACAGAGCGATCGTTTCGCTTCAGCAAGCAGCCATTGACTTGCATTGTATAAATCACCAAGGAGCACGGTTTCAATTTTTGTCATTTTTAGGTGAACGATAGCTCTAAGATGATTCTAAACATTGACAGCATGATTTCCCGTACCTCCGCAGGAGAGCTCGTCCTGCAGCAGCACCAGGTGAACGGGACACGAGCAGCGCGTGGATCCGTCTCCCTTCACCAGACAGATGTGCGAGCAGCCACCGTTATCAGACGTGCAGGGGTGTTTATCTGCAGACACACACACACACACACGCATCAACACACACTCCAGCCGACGCTCTACCCTTGATGCTCAGCGAGAGACGCTTACTGTACTCCTCCATGCGCAGCTCGTGGACGGCGTGGATGTCGCTCAGAGAGGCGATGCGCGCCTGGATCTTGGTGCGTCCCTCGCGCGTGATCTTATCGATGCGCTCGATCATCTGCTGCTGCCGGTCGATCCAGTACAGGAAGTTCCCAAACACCGTCAGACCCACCGGCTGCAGGATGTTGGAGTCCTCGATCACGATGCGATTGGCTCCTGGAGGAGAGAGGGGAGTGGTCAGGGACGGAGGGGCGGGGCCAAGGAAAGCATTCATTGGACGGGGAGATTCTGGAGACGATTAGTGATGTTGATCAGCTGGTCAGTGCGTGACCTTTGACCCCAGGATCTCACCGGACAGGTCGCTGCTCTCGATGCGCCTCAGGTCCATGTCAACCCAGAAGAGTTTTCCCAGCTCGTTGTCGACGGCCAGAGCGACCGGCTTGCCCAGATTACTGAAGAACAGCACCTCGCGCTCCGTCCCGTCCAGAGCGGCGCGCTCGATCTTCGGAGAACGCTCCTGCAGATTGGTGAAGTACATGTACCTGCGGAGCAGACGCCAGACAGTGAGACGACACGGCTACAATTCTTCTGTAGTACAGGTATCTGAAATATTGTGCTTAAATATGCAAACGAGGCATTATCCAAGTAAATATGCACTCATTTGCATACATCTCTAATAGGGGTGTAACGGTTCGGTACAGCAAAAACAAAGAAACACCAGACAAATTTCCTTGATTTTTACATTTAAAAAAAATTTCAACTAGTATCATATGATCTTAAAAATATTTTAGACTTTGGAAGGCCTTTTGACTTTTGCCGTTTATCGAAGATGATTTTGGAAGCTTTTTTAACATTTGTTTCTTATTTATTTGGTTCCACCGTGTTTGCTGATTTTCAGTGTTTTACATTTAAACTTTGTGTAAGTTATTTGTTATTTTATATCAGGCCTATAGCATGGTGTATTTGTATTCGTTTTGTTAATAAATTAAACATTCTATGTTTAATGTAAGTGAGTTTGTCGTACTGTGTTGTTGTTGTCAGTTCAATCAATTGATGCCGAAATGCCGCTAGTTCGAAAGTGAAAGTAAAATGCGCACAAGTGGAAAACTAACGAACTACCTCATCATCACAACCTGGAGTACATTATATTTCACACACTTTAAGCTCTTTTTCCCCCCAAATGTAATAGGATTACTCCAACGAATCGTTCGGTTTGGAATGCGTAGCAAACCGAAAGCCTCGTATCGAACGGTTCAATACGAATACGTGTATCGTTACACCCCTAATTTCTAAACACTGCATAAAGTCAGGTTCATAATTGTTGTTTGATTGTGTTGACAGAGTGAAAGGTTTCTACAGAAGGGGATTCTGGATTTCTCTTTTCATCACTCCATAAATCAGTCAACAAACCATTTCAGCATGTTTTTAGGAGTAACATGTTGTATAAATCAGTGTGAGTGAAATAAGTGACCCTGCAGCACAAAAGCAGTGTTAAGTCGCTGGGGTATATTTGTAGCAATAGCCAACAATACATTGTAAGGGTCAAAATTATACATTTCTCTTTTATGCCAAAAATCATTAGGATATTAAGTAAAGATCATGTTCCATGAAGATATTTTGTAAATGTCCTACCGTAAATATATCAAAACTTAATTTTTGATTAGTAATATGCATTGCTAAGAACTTCATTTGAACAACTTTAAAGATGATTTTCTCAATATTTAGATTTTTTGCACCCTCAGATTCCAGATTTTCAAATAGTTGTATCTCAATTTCGAAAAATTGACCCTTATGACTGGTTTTGTGCTCCAGGGTCACAAATGAACAAACTTTCAGAATACAGAGAGGAATTAAACTGTAAAGTTTGGTGTTTGTAAGAGAAAAAAACTCTTTAAAGATTGAAATCTACAGACGCAAACACTTAAATCTGCGCTAGTCTGACAGAAGACGTGATGTAGAAGCAGAGCAGTGCATGGAAACACGCTGGTCTTGCTGTAATGTGCGTCTCTCACCCTCGCTCCGGATTGACCACGATGGCGCGGGGTTTGTCGTGTTCTCCGCGCAGCACCACGCCGACCCGTGACCCGTCGATGCGCGTGACGTTGATGACGTTGGTCACTTCGCTGGTCCAGTAGATGAAGCGGCTGTAGACGTCGATGCTGAGGTCGTAGGGCTGCAGGCCGAGGCTCGCGCTGGACACCACCGTCTCGCTCTGAGGAACAACACAACAGCGGTCAGACGAGTCCAGAGCAATCCCAGCAGTCACCGGGGCCTCGCCGCAGCGCTCACCTGGTTCCCGTCCTCCTGCGCGCGGCGGATGGCGTTCTGCTTGGAGTCGATCCAGTAGAGCTGGCGGTCGAGCGGGTCGTAGTCGATGGCGCGCACGTTTCTGAGGCTGTGGATGGGCAGCATGATGTCGGGGCTCTGCAGCTCGTCGATGACCATACGGTTGATGGCTGTCTTCTGACTGAACAGCAGGAAGGATGTGGGCGCTGACACACACACAGAAAGAGACCATTAACCTTTCATCATCAAACAGTGAGCGTCCGCTTCCAGTTTACTCCTAAACCACCTCACGTGTGTTTCTGACCCATAGAGCAGTGCCAGATTAAACTGCTGGAGAAACACACGCACACACTTCATCACAACCCCAAAACAGTGATAATATACGCTCACGGTGTGTCCTTTTAGTATCATTAATAAACTATATTTATTAATTGTTTTATTTCAATACAGTTAACGTTCACAAAGTCACCAAAATGATTTTTTATTGTTTTTAGTTTTATTTCACAGTGGTGTAAGTGAATCGTAAACGGCGTGGAGGTTTGGACCCGGAAACAGTATTTCTCACGTCACAACCAAACAAGAGCATTATTGTGGCATGTTTGATGCAAACCCACCCCTCGGTCACATGATCACTGCTGCTTCAGTGTGAGGGAGATTACAGTCATCGTAACACACACACACACACACTCAAACCCACCCCTCGGTCACATGATCACTGCTGCTTCAGTGTGAGGGAGATTACAGTCATCGTAACACACACACACACACTCACACACTCACACACTGATACACACGGCCTGCAGCGATTATAAAGCCTGTTTTTACTCCGTCAAACACACAAACACAACGAGACGCTCAGGCCTCATACGGCCTTCGGGTTTCCAGCATCTGCCAGCTTGGCTGCGGCTCGTCGACCACAAGAGCTTTAAAAAGAAAATTCCCTGCCTGTGATTCTCGAACAACGGCTCTGCGTCTCCAGGAAGGACCCCGGCGGCTCTCTCTGTGAGAAATCACGTCTGAGCCCTGCCAAACCGAGCGGTACGAGAACACGCGAGCATCTGTGCCAAACGCACACGGATCAATGTGACGAGGCCTTGGAAATCTGGATCCCAAACCTAACAGGAACCAGACTCAAGGACATGTGCGAGTGTGTGTGTGTGTATATGAGTGCGAGTGTGTGTGTGTGTGTCAGACACAGGTGCGAGCAGTGACCGTTGGTGGAGGCGCAGGCGTTCCAGCCGCTCTGTCTGGACGAGTGGAACACCAGGATGTCCATGACGTAGTCCAGGTGGCCCTGTATGATGGTGCGGTTCTGCCCGCTGGTCTTGTTGGCCCGTTCGATGCTGCGCTGGCTCCAGTCGGTCCAGTAGATGTAGTCCTGGTACTGCGTGAGTCCGAACGGATGCGGCAGATCGTCAGCGATCACCTCACGCTCCAGACCTGAGCATCACAACAACATCAGGAGAACTCAAATGAAATAACAGATCTATTAAAAAAAAGTATAAAATCATTAATAAGTAATCAAAAATTATTATATTATAAAAATTTTATTTATATATGTATATATCTTTTTATCATTGAAAACATAATATAATTAAATAACCCGAACCCTAATCTTTATTATATATAATATTAAAAACACACACACTCACACACTCTCTTACACACACACTCACTCTCTCTCACACACACTGCAGCTAAAGGTCACTGATATTCACCCAGCATGTTGGAGGACTCGATCAACGTGGTGTCGAGGTCCGTCCAGTACAGCCGCCGCTCGGTGTAGTCGATGGTCAGTCCGTTCGCGCGGCCCACATTCGGCACCAGAGTGATGCGTCCAGAACCATCCATGGCCGCGCGGTCGATCTTCGGCCGTCCACCCCACTCTGTCCAGTACATGAAGCTGAGAGGAAGAGAAGCAGACTGTGGGACCGTAACCCTAACCCACATACACACTCACACTCACACACCAACACTCACTCACTCTCGCACTCGCTCGCTCGCTCACTCACTCACACACACTCACACACTCACGCTCGCTCACACATGCTCGCTCACTCCGACACTCACATACTCACACTCACTCACTCACTCTGACACTCACATACTCACACTCACTC